GCACGTTGCCTGTCTTTGGCTTGGCGCTGGCGCGCCGCCACCGCCAAGCCTCCCAATTAGACGGCCAGGGTATTAGTTCCCGTGCAATGCGTGTGTGTGAGCACTTGTGTGCAGACGGTTCTTTCTGGCTTTAAGGCGGGCGTGTAATTCGATTTTACGATAGGGATGAGAAGGGGGTTTAGTTAAAATGATGCATATTATTCAAACTTTCTAAAAATCGACAATATTTTATTTTGTTTCATTTGTTAGCCTAAGCTGTACAGCGCCAACGAAGAAAAAATAACATATTGACGAATATGAAAAATAAAAATACTAGTTAAGCATAAAATATAAAGTATAGAAAATTTGTCAACATGAAACATCGTTTCATAAGAAAAAGTACGACTTTATGATGCTGTGCGGCTTACTCGTCGTCAGCTTCAGCTTCAAGATCAGCAAACAGGCAAAAATTATTGTTGTGGTTCTTCGAAATGACCTACCAAAAAAATGCTACATTAGATGTTTGCTACAGTACAGTACATGATTTGACTGGTTGTAAAAGCGAATGCTTATAAGTACATACGCTATCTTCCTGGAAATTTTCCTTAACGTTAAACCATGGCAGTGGCATTGCTTCGCTCTTATTGTTTGTCAGGCTTACACCAGCACAATTGAGGAAATTCTTCATGCATACATCAAACTCCTCCCTACCCCGCTGTGCAGCCTGATACATTCCGTTCAGTATTGTTTCCTGATGGAATGGACCACTTATGTAGCCGGAGCCTGGAGCCTGACAGTCGGTCTTCAATCGATCTGGGTCAATCGGATCCTTGTGTTCCTTGATGTCTTTGGCACCACTGTCGGTTTTACTTACGCCCACCGTAGTTGCCTCATGGACGTTTTTTGCATTGGACGTGGACAGCAGCTCTTTTTCTTGCGATCCCTGAGAACATTCGGGTGGCACAATCAAAATCGGAAAATCCAAATTAAAACAGTAGAAGAATTCTAGTCTTCGTTTAACTTAATGTTAGACTTACGGATTGCTTATGTCTCATCCTCAACGCCATGCGTTGGCGTTCGTCATTTGGCGTCTGCTTTTCAGAAACATTCTGTGCCTCCTTTTTTGGAGCATCGCTAATTCGCTCTAAGACGACGTAACAGTCATGTATCTTGGAACCACTGTTCGGGGGTTGGTTGACAACCTAGAAAACGGTTTAGTATTGCAAATCGCAAAATGATAGCAACCAATAGCAACTAATAACATGCGCAATCTCACTTACCGTCCCACCGTCTTGAAATGATCTAGACCGATTGCTCCTTGAAAAGGCCGGTTGGTGCGAAGATGGTCTGGAGGACGCGTTCCTGCGTGGTGCCCGTCTCGTCGACCGAGCCTCGGATGCCTTTTTGGCGCCCATGATTAATCGATCCAACTGTTCAGCCATTGCTGAAACACCTGTGAAAGAAGTCGAGTAATTAGTGAAAAGAAATGTTAAGTATAAAGCCTGGCGAAGCCGAGGAGAAAACCACCCGTGATTTCGGTCAAACGACCACCCGTATACACTGCTTTTTGCAAGGATGTAAGAAAGTGGGGATCGCCCAAAAGGTAAGTCCATTTTTCTCCGATTCAATGGA